GACAGGGCTCTGAACTGGGCTTGCAGAGTTAGCTGCATATGTGGGCTGTCCTGCTCATAGGTGTGTGGAGGCAGTGACACGAACTGAGGAATTAGGGAGTCTAATCTGGACGGCAAGAGAGGCTGTAGCATTGTTGGCAAGCATTACTCAAAATCTGTCATTTATAACAGAGGATAGAGGATTTATCTGCATTATAAGCAGAAGAGGTGAGTACCAAATCCCAAATTCCACAAATGACTATTTTAGTATTTCTAATCATAACATTTTAATTATGTTTTTGTCTGTTGTGAAATTTCTGGTCACTGGCAGCATCATTCATTTTCTTTATCCTAGGAGAATAAACTTAAAGGAACACAAGAAGATGTTTATTTTTAATAAATAGATGACAAAGCTATCCAAGATAGATTCTATTTATCCTTTCATGCCCAATAGGAGGAGAGCCATATGTTAATCTATTTATGGTGTTTTGGGGAGGAATTGGAGAGGATAGATTGTGGTTTGCAATGAGAGGCAATTTTGTCCCTCAGGGGACATTTGGAAATGTCTGGAGATAGTTTTGGTTGTTACAAATGGGGGTGGGGGGGTGCTCCTGGCATCTGGTAGAGGCCAGGGATGCTGCTCAACATCCTCCAATGCACAGGACAGTCCCCACAATAAAGAATTATCCAGCCCAAATTGTCAATAGTGGCAGGATTGAGAAATCCTAGGAGAGATATGATGGGGAGGCAGAACAATCACTTTTATAACATTATCTTGTTTAGTTAAAGCTATACTTAGGGGAACAGAGTCATCTTCTGGGAAAAGGGAAAAACTCCATCCTTCCATCCTGCCCAATGAGAACATGGCTTTTTCTCTGTGTGGGGATGCAGACCAGTGTAATGACTGTGCTGGAGATCCTGCAGGCCACAGTGGCCATGACAATTCTTGGCTGGGTCTCAGAGCTTGGCAGAGGCAACCATATACATATACCTCATCTGCGAAAGAGGCGACTACAGTTCCTGTTTCTAATAGACAGAAGGATTCAAAACTGTATGTGTGCTAACTTGGTTTTCATTAGAGTTATAAGATGTGCATCCCTTGGTGTCTATGTGGTGGAAGATGACAGCCGCCTTATAGTGGTATAAGTTAATTTCATATGTGAAATAGACATCTTCATTCTCCTGTCACTTCTGTAATATTGTGAACATAAATTCTTTTATATTTTCTTTTTCAAAAAGCATTTGAAGTGGCCGCTGTTTAAGATGCCTAACTGAAACTTTCTTCCTATTGGCAGTAGAAGTTAACAGTTGAAGATGAGGGAGCAATATAGCTGCTAAATTGATTTATTATCCCAGAGGCAGAGGTTACAGCCTCATAGTTTCACTAAACTGCATTATGAGCTTTTCTTACTGACTCCTCCTTCATAAACTTTTCATTCCTTCTTCCCTCTCCTATTGTCTATTCTTACCAGCTCATCCTTTAAAAACTTGCTCTTGCACACATTCTCTCTCAATTTTTTTAAAAAAGTCTTTTCTGCTCTCCTTTTAAAACTTCTCTTTCAATTCCTTTTCCCTCCCTCTCTCTTCCTCTTCCCTTCCCTCCCCCTTCCCTTTTTACTCCCCCACCCCATCCCATTCCATCCCATCCTATCCTCTTCTCTCTTAGTTTTACTCTCTATTTACTGGCCTACTTTAAAAAAGTTTTTCATTTCTTCTCTTTCCCTTTCTAACTCTCTATCTTTTATGTACTCACTTTTTACTGGTTTCTCCTTTTTCAAATCAGTTCTGTCTATGCATGCATGCATCTCTCTCTCTCTCTCTCTACCTACCTATCCATCCATCCATCCATCCACCTAGCTATTTATCCATCTTTATTGTATTGTCTTTTTTTTTTATTGACTTCTACTTTTTATTTTATTTTTTGTGGGGAAGATCAGCCCTGAGCAAACATCCATGCTAATCCTCCTCTTTTTGGTGAGGAAGACCAGATCCGAGCTAACATCTATTGCCAACCCTCCTCCTTTTTTTTTTTTTCCCCAAAGCCCCAGTAGATAGTTGTATGTCATAGTTGCACATCCTTCTAGTTGCTGTATGTCGGACACAGCCTCAGCATGGCCAGAGAAGCGGTGCGTTGGTGCGCGCCCGGGATCCGAACCTGGGCCGCCAGTGGCAGAGCGCCCGCACTTAACCACTAAGCCACGGGGCCGGCCCTGACTTCTACTTTTTAAAACTCCTCCCCATCGTACACAATTGTACTTGATTTTCTTAATGGCTCCTCCCTCTCACTCTCACATTGTCTTTCTCTCCTTTATTAATACTTTTCCCTACTCACTCCTCATTTATAAATTTCTTTTTTTCTTCCTTATTTCCTACTTCTATTCCATCATCCTTCCTTCCCACCTTCCTTCCTTCCTTCCTCCCTCCCTTCCTTCCTCCTCCATCCCTTCCTACTCTCTCTTTCACTTCCACTTTCATTATTTTATTCTATTATGCACTATGCACTATGTTTTCTTATCTGCTCCTCCTTTTAGAACTTATTTCATTCAGTTTCTCTCTTGCTTTCATTATTTTTTGCAGTGGCATTTCTTATTAACTCTTCCTTGTTAAAAATCTTTCTTCTTGTCTTTCCTTTTCTCTCTCTCTAACACTATCATTTTTGCAGTCTTTCTTTTCTTTCTTTTTTTTTTTGTGAGGAAGATTGGCCCTTGGCTGACATCCGTGCCCATCTTCCTCTACTTTACATGGCACACCGCCATAGCATGGCTTGACAAGCGGCGCGTTGGTGCGCAGCCGGGATCCGAACCTGCGAACCCTCGGGCCGCCAAAGTGGAGCGCGTGCACCTAACCCCTATGCAACAGGGCCGGCCCCTGCAGTCTTTTCATATTCGTTCTTTTTTTTTACATCTCTGTCAAATTTATTATTGGCTCTTCCCTTTTAAATTTTTCTTTTTCTCTTTCTCTCTCTATTGTGTAAAGTCTTCTTAGAGGCTTCTTGTTTTTAAACTTTTCTCATTTTTTGTTCTCTATTTCTTTTTTTTCTTTTCTCTCCTTCTATGCCTTTCTATATTTTTCTTTTATCTTTTTTGTACACTTCATTGTTACTGGCTCCTTCCTCCTTGTGAAACATTCTTCTTTTCTTTAGGTCTCTGACTCTCCTTTTTCCTTCTCTTTTCTCTCTCTCATTCTCATTTTTCTGTATTTTACATTTTCTTATAAATTAATCCATTTTAAACATCTTCTCTTTATTTCTTTCATATTTCCTCCTTCCTTCCTTCATTCTTTCCTTCTCTTATTTCATTTCTCTATGTCTTTTTGTTGTTCCCTTTCTGTATTTCTATTTCTCCTCTGTGCCTGTCTGCATGCCTGCCTGCCTTCCTCTCTTCCTATCCTATCCTATCCTACTGTCCTATCCTATACTATCTTACTCTACCCTGTCCTGTCCTGTCCTACCCTATCCTACCCTACCCTGCCCTACCCATCATCTTCCCTCTTTTACTCTCTATGTACTGGCCCCTTTGAAAAATGTTTTTCATTTCTTCTTTCTCTTTCTCTTTTTCTATCTTTTATGTACTGACTTTTTTGCTGGGTTCCCCCTTATAAGTTCTATCTATCTATCTATCTATCTATCCACCCACCCATACATCATCTATCACCTGTCTATGGTTCTATTTATATTTTATACACCTACCTATCTACCTGCCTTCCTATGAGCTGTCATTCATCCATCTATCTTATTTCACTGTAATATTTTAACTGACTTTTTAGATTTATTTCCCCCACTGTCCACAATTGTGCTTAAATTTCTTACTAGCTCCTCCTTTTCAAACCCTCTGTCTCTCACTCTCACATTCTCTTGCATTTCTTTTGTGTTTTACTCTTTCCTACAGACTCATCAATTTAAACTTCTTTCTTCCTTCCAACTTCCTCCTTTCTATCTTGCCCCTTCCTTCTTTCTTTTCTTCCTTCTTTAATAGCCTTTTTCTGTCTTTTCTAGCTCCATTTCATTCTCTGTCCTCTCTTTGTCTTTCTTTCTCTATTTCCTTCCTTCTTTCCCTCTCTCCTTCCTTTCTTCCTTCCCTCCCCTTTTCTCTCCTTCATCCCTTTATCTCTCCCTCTTTCTTGCTTTCCTGCATTCCTCCCTTCCTCCCTCTCTTCCTTCCCTCCTTCATACCTTCCATTCTTTTTTTACTGGCTCCTGTTCTTAAAGATTTTTCTTTTCATCTCTATTTCTTTTGTTCTAACTCTTTGTATATATTTTGTATGGTCTTTTATATTGGCTTCTGCCTTTTAAAGTCCATTCCTCCCCCATCTCAGCTATCTTTCTTTATCTTACTGTCTTTTTTTATATTTTTTTTGTGAGGAAGATCAGCCCTGAGCTAACATCCATGCCAATCCTCCTCTTTTTGCTGAGGGAGACTGGCCCTGGGCTAAGATCTGTGCCCATATTCTTCCACTTTATATGGGATGCCACCAAAGCATGGCTTGACAAGCGGTGTGTCGGTGCGTGCCCGGGATCCGAACCTGGGCCACCAGCAGCAGAGAGTGTGCACTTAACCACTATGGCACGGGGCCGGTCCCCCTTACTGTCTTTTTAAAAATACTGACTTCCACTTTTTAAATCTTCTCCCCATCATACAAAATTGTACGTCATTTTCTTATGGGCCCCTTACTCTCACATTCTCTTATTCTCCTTTATTTAACTCTTTTCCCTACTGATTCATCATTTATAAACTACTTTTCTTTCTTCCTTATTTTCTACTTTCTTTCCATCATCCCTTCTTCCTCCCTCTCTCTTTCCCTTTTTCCCTCCCTCCCTTACTTCCTTCCACCTTTCTGCCTTCATTACCAGTCTCTATGTCTCCTTCTTACTCATTTCATTCTCTCCCTCTGGATTTGTCTCTTTGTGAGCCTACACTCCTTCCTTCCTTCCTTCCTCCTTCCCTGCCTATCTCTCCCCTACCTCTTGCCTTCTTTACTTCCTCAGTTCCTCTCTTTCTTCCTACTCCTTTCCTCCCTCATTCTCTCTATTCTTCTTATACTCCTTTCTTTACTGGTTCCACTTTTAAACCTTTTTCCCTTCACTCTCTCTCGTTATCTTTTTATGTGTGTGTGTGTGAGGAAGATTGGCCCTGAACTAACATCTGCCAATCCTCCTGTTTTTTGCTGAGGAAGACTGGCCCTGGGCTAACATCCGTGCCCATTTTCCTCTACTTTTTTATATGAGATGCCGCCACAGCTTGGCTTGACAAGCGCTGCTTCAGTGCACGCCCAGGATCCAAACCGGGGAACCCGGGGCCGCCACAGCGGAGCGCGCGCACTTAACTGCTTGCACCACCGGGCCAGCCCCTCTCTTGTTACCTTTTAATATTATCTTTTGTACCAGGCCCTCCTTATAAAATCTTGTTTACCTACCTACCTAGTTTTCATACATCCATCCACCTTTATTTTTTTTTTAATTAATTTATTTTTTCCCCCAAAGCCTCAGTAGATAGTTGTGTGTCATAGCTGCACATCCTTCTAGTTGCTGTATGTGGGACGCGGCCTCAGCATGGCCAGAGAAGTGGTGCGTCAGTGCACGCCTGGGATCCGAACCCGGGCTGCTAGCAGCGGAGCGTGCGCACTTAACCGCTAAGCCATGGGCCGGCCCATCCACCTTTATTTTTAACTGACTTCTCTTTAGATCTCTCTGCCCTCTACTCTACCTTCCTTCCTTTCCTCCCTCCCCCTTCCTTGCTCATGACCTGTATCTTTTCTCACTCCATTTCTTTCATTGTCTCTCGTTCTCTTTTCTTTCCCTGCCTGTATGCATGCCTTCCTTCCTTCTTCTCTCTTTCCTCCCTCTTGCTTCTTCCTTCCCTCATTTCTTTCTTCCTTTCTCCTGCCTCCTTCTTTCTTATGTCCATCCATCTGCCCCACCTTCTCTCGGTTCTGTCTTCCTTCATTCATTTCTCCCTCTCTTCCTTCCTCCCCTCTTCCTCCTTTCATCCCACTTTTCTTCCTCCCTCCCTCCCCTTTCTTTCCTTCCTTCCTCTCTCCTGTCATTCTTCTTTTACTCTCTTTTTACTACTCCTCTTTTTAAACTTTTTTCTTTCCTTCTCCTCTCTTTCTTTATACATCTTTGTCCTGCTTTTACTACTGCCTTCTCCTATTTAAAATCAGTTCTTTCTGCCTTTCTATCTGCCTAGCTGGCTGGCTAGCTATACAGCTATCAACAATCATCTTTCTTTCTGTCTTGTACTGTCTTTCTTTACTGACTTCTACTTTTTAAATCTCTTGCACACCACACAACGGTACTTGATTTTCTTACTGGTCCTCCCTCACGCTCGCACATTCCCTCTCCTTTATGTAACTCATTTCCCTACTGACTCATCCTGTATAAACTTTTCTTCCTTCTGCTTATTCCTTTCCTTTCTTCCTTTTGCCTTTTACTGCCTCCTTTAAAAAACTTTTTCCTTCTTTCTCATTTTCTGTTATTTTTTTGTCCTATCTACTACTGGCTTCTCCTATTTGAAATCCTATCCATCCATCTATCTATCTATCTATCTATCTATCTATCTATCTATCTATCTTCTGTCCACCTACCTACTGCCTAGCTGTCATCAATTTTCCTACCTTTATTTTACTCTATTTTTAACTGACTTCCTTTTAGATCTTTCTCTTTCTCTCTGCCTTCTTCAATTGTACTTAATTTTCACAGTAACCCCTGCTTTTAAACTCCTTTCTGTGTCTCTTTCTCTCACATTCTCTGTTATTTTTTATTTTATGTATTTTCCTAGTCTCATCCCTTTCAAAATTCTTTTTCTCCCTCCCTCCCTCCATCCCTTCCTTCTGTCTTTTCCTCCCTTCTTAAACTCTTTCTTACCTGCTTCTCTTTTAAACTTTTCTTCTTTCTTTCTCTGTTCTGTAATGCCTTCTATTTATGTTTACTTATACTCTGTTTTTTTTTACTGGCCTCTACTTTTAAAGTCCATTCTTTTTTTAATCTGTGTATCTCTGGATCTAACTATTTTACTGTATTTGTTAACTGACTTCATCTTTTTAGATCTCTCTCTCGCAGCCTGCATTTCACAACTGTACTTAATTTTTCATTAGCTTCTACTTTTCAAAATCCTCTCACACTCACATTTTTTCTCTTTTTATTTTACTCTATTTCCGAGGGACTCATCTCACAAGTTTCTTTTTCTTTCCTGCCCCCTTTCTTCCTCTCGTCTGTCCATTTCCTTTCTTTGTTTCTTCTTTCCTTCCTCCCTCTCTTTGCCCCCTTCATATTTCCTTCCTTCTCTTGGTTCTTTCTTCTTTATTAATGTTCTTTCTCCGTTATCTCTTTCAATGCCCTTCTTCCCTCCACCTTCCTTATTCCCTTCTCACTCTTTCTCCTCCACTCCCTCCCTCCTTCTCTGTCTCTCCCTTATCCCTCTGTCCCTTTTTTCTTCCATTCTTCTTTTACGCTCTTTTTAGCGACTCCTCTTTTTAAACCTTTTTCTTTCCTTCCATTTCTCTTTCTAACTCCCTTTTTTTACTGGCTTCTGCCTGTTAATGTCCTGTCTACATGCATGTATGCATGTATGAATCTATCTATCTCCTTTCTTTTCTATCAATCATATATCTATGTTGCTTTGTACATATCCACATACCTAGCTGTCTATATAGCTATAAATCATGTATCTATGTTTATTTTACTGTCTTTTTACTGACTTCTACTTTTTAAATCGCAACCACACACAATTGTACCGATATTCTTACTGCTCCTCCCTCTCACTCTCACATACTCTCTCCTTCCTTAATTAACTTTTTCCCACAGACTCATCTCTAACTAAACTTTTTTTCTTTCATCTCTCCTCTCCCTCCCCTCTTTCCCCTTATACTTGTTAAATGGCTCCACTTAATATTTTTTTCTCTCTCTCTCCTGCAGTTCTCTTTTTTGTTGTACTGCCATTTTTAGTGGCTTCTGTTTTTTAAATCTGTTCCCTATCTATCTATCTAATCTTCCCATCTTCCTATCTATCTATCTATCTATCTATCTATCTATCTATCTATCTATCTATCTATCTAATCTTCCTATCTATCTATCTATCTATCTAATCTTCCTATCTATCTAATCTTCCTATCTATCTTTATTTTACTGTATTTGTTAACTACTTCTTTTTAGATCTCTCTCGCTCCTGTCCATGACTGTACTTAATCTTCTCACTAGCTTCTCCTTTTCAGCATCCTCTGTCTCTCCTGTTCACATTCTTTGTTACTCCTTTTCCCAGAGACTCTTCCCTTATAAACTTCTTTCTTTTGTGCCCCTTCCTTCCCTTTATCTACCCCTTCCTTCCTTCCCTTTCTTCGCTTTCTTTTACTCTCATTATATTGGCTAATTAAAATTTTCCCCCCTTCTTCTCACTTTATTTTTTGTCCTGTTTTTACTACTGGCTTCTCCTTTTATAAATCAGCTCTATATGTAGCTGTGTATCAATGTATGTATGTATGTATGTATGGATGGATGGATGGATGGATGGATTGATCTATCTATCTAACTTTAATGTATTTTTAGACTGACTTCTTTTTTAGATTGCTCTTTTGCTCCGTGTCCTCCACACTGTACTTAATTTTCTTACTAGTTTCTCCTTTTCAAACTTCTCTTTGACATTGTCTCTCCTTTGTTATTTTAGTACTTTTTCTAGCCTCATTCATCCCTTTTAAACTTCTCTTCCCCTGCCTTTTCCCTTCTTCCTTCCCACCCTCCTTCTCTCTTTCCTTTTACTGGCTCTTCATTTTGAAACTTTTTTCTTTCCGACTCTCTGTTTTATAGCTCTCTCTCCCTTTCTTGGATGTATTGCCTATTTTATTGGCTTCTACTTAGTCTGTCCTTCCTTCCTCCCTCCCTCCCTCTCTCTGTTTTTATATCTATATACCTACATACATAGCTACACACATAGCTTCCTGCTTACCCAGCTACCTATTCAGCTGTCAATCATCTTTCTTTCTATCTTCATTTTGCTGTCTTTTTGTACTGACTTTTACTTTTTAAAATTCTCCCCCGCCCCACACAATTACACTTAATTTCCTTACTGCATCCTCCTTTCCAAACTCATTTCTCTCTCACTCTCTCTCCTTGTTTATGTAATTCTTTTGTCCCCGACTCATCCTTTATAAACTCATTTCCTCCCTCTCACCATCCCTTCTTCCTAGACTTTTTTTGACAGACCTCTCTTTTTAAATTTTTTCTTTCCTTCTGTCTTCTGTAACTCTCTTTCTTCTTTCGTATTGCTTTTAAATGACTTCTTCTCTTAAGGTCCATTCTTTCTTTCTACCTATCTATCCACCTTCATTTTACTTTACTTTTAACTTAATTTTACTTTTCAACTATCCCCCACCCTCCACAATTGTACTTGATCTTCTTACCTGCTTTTCTTTTCAAACTCCTCCATTCTCACTCTCATTCTTTTGATTTTTCTGTTTCCTACCCACTAGTCTGTTGTAAACTTTACTTTCTATCTTTTTCATTCTTTGTTCCTTTGTTCTTTTATTCTCTTTCTCTCTTTCTTGATCCCTTTCTTTTCCCCTTTGTCCTTCTCTGCCTTCCTGACTTCCTTTCTTCCCTTTCTCTTTCCTTTTATCTTTTTTCTTATACTATTTTTTTACTTGTTCCTCTTTTTAAAACTATCTATCTATTATCTACCAACACACTAACACAGCTGTCTAGCTATCTGGCTATCAATCATTATTTAGCTTTATTTTACTGCATTTTTAAACTGATATCTACTTTTTATATCACACACACACAAAAGTGTATGATTTTCTTGTGGACTACTCTTTTCAAACGCCCCCTCACCCTCACTCGCATATTCGTCTCTTTTTATTTTCTTCTTTTACTTACTGACTCATCCTTTTAAAGATCAATTTATTTCATTTTTTTCTCTACGTCTTTCTTTAATTCTCTTTCTGCCTTAACAGTCATGCACTGCATAATGACGTTTCAATCAATGACGGACAGCATATGTGATGGTGGTCCTCTAAGATTAGTACCATATAGCCTAGGTGTGTGATAGGCTATATCATCTAGGTTTGTGTCAGTACTGTAGGGAAGGAAGAAATTTTCCTCTACTCTCCTAGATTCTCCTGGCTGGTCTAAGAATTAAAGTGACATGAGACAGATTAACAGGAGAAAAACAAAGTTTAATAACCTGTATACACAGGAGAAACCCAGGAAAACTGTCACTCACCAAAATGGCTGAAGCCACTGCCTTAAATGCCATCCTTAGCTAAAGACAAAAGAAGATGTTGGGGGTGGGGAGAGTCAGGGATTTCAAAGGGAAGGAAGGCAATTCACAGGTAGGTGAAAAGGAGCAAACAAGTGTTTGGCCACACAGAAACAGAAGAACACAAAGGGGAGCCCAACAAACAGGTTTTTCTAAGTTCCTCCCTGTCTACCACCTGGTTCATGTAATGCTAAGGTGATAGCTGGCTTCCTGAAACAGATTTTTTGCTGAATTCTTTTAGGCAGTTAAGGGGGAGGTAAGGAGAAAAACTTTCTGAGTCTTTTGTTTCTTAAAAACAATCAGCCTAAGATAATCTCATGTTAAAGAGACACATTTTGGGGTGGTAAATTTTGTTCTCCTTCAGTACACTCTATGATGTTCACATAATGACAAAATCGCCTAAGGATCCATTTCTCGGAATGTATCCCTGTTAATCAATGCATGACTGTATACTGTCAACTTCCTTATCTCCTTCCTTCATCCCTGTCCATTCTCTCCCCTCTCCCTCCATCCTTTCCCTTCCCAAATTTT